TAGATTACGTATAAGCTGCTCCATTAATTGTTTTTTTTTTAAAGATATTTTTCAGTTAAACGGTAACTTTATGGACACCCTTCTTTTCCAAATCCCTCCCACCAAGCTACCTGTGGACATGCGTGGGGACACTACTGCATACGTGGTATCGACAAAGTACGGGAATTTCTGTTTAGTTTCGTCGTTGTCCCCTTTCAATAGCAAAAACTACTCTCAGACCACAATTCGCGTCGAGTAGGAGGAACTCAACCGAAAATAACAAGCGCGTAAGGCAATCGAGCCTAGTGAGAGAAAGGGGTAACCTCGTCCCCAGGGCGCTTTTCCATGGCTCCAAAGCCAGGGAAAAGCGCCCTGGGGACGACGTTGTGAGAAAGGGGGTTGACGCGCAGGCTTGGAGGTCTACCCCTTTCGCGTCCGTTGTCCGCTTCATATCACTGATATCTTTGGAAATTTTAAGGTTTTGGTTGTAAGTTTTTTAACAGCCGGTAATTATTTCAGTCAATTTTTCCTTTATTTTTTTTCACTCAGCGAATCTCCCTTTTTTACAACTTTGCACACTAAAACAAGCATTGAACCGACATAACTTCCGTTGGGTTATTCGCCAAATCTCATTGAATGAGAAAAGTATCCTTTGTAAAGACCACTCCTGTCAGGTAAAATCTATCTCTCCTAAGTTGAGGGGGTTTTCACATATGCTATTCAAAAACTGGGCGCGAGAAGTTTCGCATAACGTACCTAAGGTTCTCTTTTACTTTCGCCTTGCCGCTGGACTGTAGTTTACAAAGCCAAACGAAAATAGAGCCTCCTGTTCCGTAGCAGTGTTCAACGACCGGTGATCATTCCCAGAGTTGATTTTCATTCGCCACTCTTCGTTTATGTATCGTTACTTAGACCTCCCTGCTAGTTATAATACTAGAGCATATATTTTGGTGAAAGTCACTACCTAACGTAACGTGGCATAGAATGTAACGTTCAGTATCTTATACCGAGACACTTCGTGTTATTTACTCAACCGAACAGCGCAACCAAAAAGAGTCACCTCTCCGACAAGTTTGAGTATTGGTAGTCAAACGTAAAACATAGCTTCTTTAATTTGTGGCGAATTGTGCGTTCTTGTTCCCTCTTAAGATTAAGAGACACCAATGTCGCTGTTGCTCAAGGTATCAAAAGTTACCCCTAGAGAGAGACAGTAGTAAAACAAACATCACCATATTTTTGGTAAACGTCTTTTGCGCAGTTCAAACCTATACCTCCCAAACACTCTAAATGACCAAAAAATAGGTAAAGCTAGCAACACAACGAGCATCCCGGTAATAATTCAAGATAGCTCAGTGGAAGAGAAGCAAATTCAATTACTGTACTTGAGCAACATTTCCCAAACCAAGCGACTAAAGCCTACTAACAACAAGACCGGAGATAATCGTTAAAATACACACAATGAGCGAATTTTATAAAAACTAGATTACATGTATTTACCTTCCCAAACTTGCTGTCACTGCCACCCCCGAAAATTGGTCGTACCACTTTTCGAAAAATGCCCACAACCCAATGCCCTGCCCATATTTTTCTGGCTTTTTTTTTTTTGCTGAAGGAGGCAAACGCCAAAAAATTGATTACATTCATGTCCCAGCGTTGCCCGCTGATCAAAAAGCTAGAACACTCTTGGTACGAGATTGCTTGCAACCGTTCTTGGGAAGGTGGGCCTTGTAACCTGCCCTTCAATCAGAACGCGGTAACGAGCAACATGTCGGCATGCACTACATCTTAGCACACCATCTAGTCGTGCAACATAAATTAATTGAACACTACTATGCACAACGTTTTGTAAGCAATACGCACTTCTCAAAACTACTTCTTTTCTGTACTTATTAGTCCTTTAGTATCCTAACCAGTCCTTTTCCGTCCTTTCTGGTCCTTTTGTCCTTACTAGTCCTTTTCCGTCCTTACTAGTCCTGTTTTCTGTCCTTACTAAAACTGGTTAGGACAGAAAAGGACCAGTCAGGACGGAACCAAGATTTGTAGGCAGTGTTGTTGCTTCCTTAAGGTCAAGTAATACGGACGACATTTTCGCACAACTTGTCGCGCAACATTGTTGCGTTGCAAGTTGAAAAGAGCTGTTGCCCGTATTACCATCTTCGCTCTCAACTTGTCACGCAGCAAATTTCGATGTTGCAAGTTGCAGCTCTTTAAGAAAATCATGCGTTGTGATTGGTCGACAGTGTGTTTTTATGTCAGAAAACAAATGGCTTGTTGACCTTCTGTGGTTTCTTTTTTTACTTCCCTTGTCAATGCCGTTCTAAGGCTATGTAGTTGTTTTTAAGACAGTTTGGTGAAATGTTAAATTTTTGACATAACTCATTTAAAGCTCATGACCTCCGTGGCTTGTTTTTATACTCTGGTCCACAAGTTTCCCACAGATATGGGTGCTTTTCAAGTTCTTTGCACAAGTCTTTTCTTTGGGCCTCTGACATTTTTTCACTAATAAATTCACAATCTTGGGTCTCAACGTTCTCAACCTCCACTACCTCGGCCATGTTTACTTCCTGCCCAAATCGGATATGCCCGAGGTCAAGCGCGTTATTCTCAACTTGCAACATCGAAATTTGTTGCATGACAAGTTGAGAGCGAGGGTGGTAATGACCAACAACGCTTTTCAACTTGCAACGCAACAATGTTGCGTAACAAGTTGTGCGAAAATGTTGCCCATATTACTTGACCTTTACAAAACAACGGAAAAACCTTGCTACTGCACCTGATGCTGTTCACTACGTTCACGAGGCAAAGCAGGCTAGAGGGTGGTTGTGAAGTCTTTTGTAGGATGGGTGTTGGCTGGCAGTACGGACTAATCTTATTGGTCGTATAGCGCGGCGACTTGGTTGATGGGTAATTTCAATTGGTGAAATTTATTTTGAGAGAATACCGAAAATCCCGAAAATAAGCCCCGGGGCTTATATTTTTCAAAGGCCCTTTTTAGGGAGCTTATTTTTGGAGAGGCTTGTTTTCGGAGGGGCTTATCTACTGAGGGAAATTTGCGTTTCAAAATCGACTTGGCCAGCCTTATAGTTGATGGTAAATTTACCGTTTTTGCTTTGTTTTACTTTGTATTTGAGGGTCATTTTCCTAGTACAAACCCCCGGGGGGCTCATATTTTGAGGGGCGATTTAACGGATGGTTTTTTGCGTCACCGGTTTGGGGGGCTTATATTTGGAGAGGCCTATACATGGAGGGGCTTATTTTCGGAATTTTACGGTATGTTCACGAAACTGTCTTTTGTCCACAGTTACCGGACTAGATCTGTTACTAACGAAAATTACTGTTGAACAAGTTAGGCCTGTTTCAAACGTCGTGCTAAGCTGGCTCGACTGTAGCTCGACTGCAACACGACACTAGCACGACTTGGTTTCAGAAGTCGAATTTAATTCACACGGTGACAGTCGAATGGAGCGGCTGTTGCCAAAACACACACACAAAAAAAAAGGTTTAGAAAACTTTTAAATATATTTTAATGTATTTACAATCTATGAATTGAGTTCGGCTCAGCGATTGCACGACGTTTGAAACCAAGTCAAGGCTTCCAGCCCCTAGATTGAAATAATGCCCCCATGACTGGCACAACAGCGCAACCCAGCCTTGAGCCTAGCCTGTACAGGAAAGGAAAGGAATAAGCTCCCGTCACACTGAAAAATCAGTGGAGAAAAACCAACAAAGCCTAGGGGGAGGGGGGAGGGGAAGAAAATGGCTGACAGAACCTAGCACGAAGGAAAAGTGAACACGCCAATGAATCACATGATCGATGTAGCCAACTACTGGGCATGCGCATGCCAAAGACCGCTGACAGGTACTTACGGCGCTCTTAGTTGTTAACTCCTTTAAATTACATCATGTTAAGGACGGACCATTAGAAAAGTTATTGGGGGGGGGGAATTTTCGAGCCACAGGAATTTTTTTTTCGTTATCAAACTCCTTGCATGAATTTTTTTAGGCCATAGCATGAATATTTTTTAGGATTAATTTGCGTGGAGAAACGGATGTTTTCGCAGGCTTTATTTCGTCACTCAGGAACTTTGTATTTAATTCAGTACAAGTGAGTGGTATCCGCCGTATTAGTTTTAGGAACGTTTAAATAGAATGTCTTTGTTTTGGGGTTGTCGGTTACTTCCCTTTGTTTATATTGACGCATTGTTATTGTGCGGACCATTTCCCTCTTCAGAGAGCTATGGGTGATTTTGTTTGCACATTTTGTCAGCCTTTTCCTTCAAGTCAAATATTCAGCCCCTTAGGTGAAAGGCGATTCCCCTGGTTTCCACCTACTACCCAATAAATTTTCTACTGTGGCTACTAAGGACACTGCCCAAATAACTCCTGTATTAAAACAAAAGTCCTGCATATGAACTAAGATATGCCTGGTAGGCAATTTACTTCAAGATAACAGACTCAAAGTTTTTAATGCACAACCAAAGACTAATTCCTGAACACGCTAACTATTAAATTTCCAAAAAAATTAAAAAAAAATTAGGTGCTATTCGCACATCAACACTCAAAAGTACTTCTCAGTGTAAAATTAAACATGAAATACTGAAACATCAAAGTTAAACATCAAAGTTTACTTAAATAACAAAAAGTCTTGAAGTTATTGTTAGAAAACATCCAGTTTTCTCAATATTATCAACAACAACAACAACAATAACTTTATTTAAAGAGGGAAGCGCAATAACCTATTACAGTTTTCTAACCTACGGCCCTCAAAAAATACCTATAGTAAGAGAGTTCAAGTCTCCAATACAAGAATTTTTCATTCTTTGACGACTTCATCTTTGATGGTTGTCAAATATATAGAACACTGATTTCTGATGAGTGTTTACAATGAAGTCTCTTCCAGTTGAGAAAAACCTTTTAAATGAGAGGTCTTCCATTCTTGTTCAGTATTGCTGCTGGCATTTCTTCTGATGCATCCATCAACTTCAAATCGAATACTCTCATCAACTCCACTGACTACAGCATTATCTTCTTGTTAAGCAAGAGTAACGTTGAGTATTTCTTATAAATAGTTTAATGTTTGTTGCTGTACCATATGATGCAATCCTAACTTTTACAACGATGATCCAATACATAATTGCCTGATTCTTTTTAATCTTTAAAGTTGTTTCTATCTTCAACATCTGTAAAACAAAATAATAAAAAAAGTAACATGAGGGCAAAAAATGGACAACAAATTAAAATAATAAAGGGTTTCCTGCAAACAGCTTAATTTGCTCTCCACTATCTGAACCCTGTACTCTACTATTTCAATGCTTACAACACGCTAAAAAAAGAAAAGTACTAATTTATAATAACAACGCATTTCTCAACCAAAAACCCAATAAACAAAGCCATTAATAACAGAAGACTTTTGATAGCAGCTGTATTTCATTTTCTACATCCATTGGAAAAAGACAGTTAAAAACATCACAAGTTGACACAAAACTTTGTCAGCTTCAGCTGTCAAAGACAAAATTCCACTTGACACAAAACTCTGTCAGCTTCAACTGTCAAAGACAAAATTCCACTGCATCCAGGGCCAGCACATTGTTAAATATGTGTTAAATCCTGGCACTGGCTGAATTGAATCCCTGCTATGCTCAAGAGGTTCGGGGAGTGGGGGGAAGGGTTTCAATAATATTGATTGATGCATGTAGACACTGCATCCTTTACTGGCTTACTTTGCAGGGCTCGACACTAACACTTGCCCGTTCACCACTGGAAAGTAATATTTCTGAGTGGAAAGTAAAAAAAGCAAATGAACCGAAAATGCTTGCCCGATCGGGCAACTACTTCTAGACAACGCGGGAAAGTATTTTTTTTAAACAGCCAAATAAAAAAGAAAAGAAAACGAATGTGTTTAGTTATTACAAGTGAGCTTCCTTGCTAAACGTCTAAGTTTCGCGTTTTTCTATCTCCGCCATCTTGGAATCGTCAGTGACAGATCGAGAAACCCTGGGTACGAAATAGATGGTGCAATCGACCGTGCTCGCCATTTTGCCTTTCACATGTGGACTAGTAAATAAAACATGAGTGTTTTAAGCGCGCTGGTGAGGTTAACAAAGGAAACTCCGAAAAGATTGATGAAGTTGACCAAGAAAGCAACAAAGGAGGAGAACAGACTGAAAATCAAACAGCTGGAGCATTCGAAGCAAGCGACGCCACGATGGCTTAAGGAGTTTCCATGGCTGCAATACAAGGAAGAACAGAGTCTTAATTTTGTTATGTTTCTACTATGGATAGTGGAAAATATGATTCTTTCATTTTTGGAAAGTAAAATTTTACTATGGAAAGTAAATTTTCATATCTATTTTCCACAGTGGCAAGTTATGTCAAAAGTTAGTGTCGAGCCCTGCTTTGTCACCAAGAGTAACTAATCAGTCTACCTAACTATTTAAAACAGTACATAAATCTTGAACAGGTTTTCAGTAGGATCATAGTTACTACTAACTTCATGAATTAATTTTTTTTTTAACTCCATCCAAAATTCCCACGTGCACGAGCCAAGGAAACTCGTCAAAAATTTACAGCATTTGAATATTACCACAGAGAAAAACCTAACCTACTAACCTCAAATCAGATTCGGTGTCTTGAAATACATTGTCTTAACGTTCTGCTGACATAGCATAGAAGCATCAGCAGCGTTTGCTTTCTAGGTTTCTAGGCTCGTTGCGGGCACAAAACTTACTAGATTTGCTACAGTAATGCACCGCGGGCTATGAAACATGGATCATGCATCATTCTTCTCTGAAGCAACCTTAATTGAAATAGGTGTGTACAGTTTTGTTCAGTTGTACATGTAAATATTCAATGATTTGTGGCAATTGTTCCGAAACTCAGCACTTTTAAAATATTCTTTCTGATCCTGGGCTGTAGGAAATAACCTTTTAAGGTGAACGATAAACATAATGTTTTTTTACTGTATCTTCTGGATAGGCATTATTCAATGACAAATAACACCCGTAGCCAGATGACTTTTTCAGCGCGAAAATACCTTCAACTTTGCTGGAGGGAGGGGGGGGGGGGTGACATTATTGTTTTAAGCACTTTTTGGAATACACATATTTTTCGAGATTGGTAAAGGTCATTATTAGGTTACTACAACCATTTTTTTGTTTTTTTTTTCATCAGGATTTATTTATTGATTTTTTTAACCTCTTGAATCTTTATCCGTTACTTTCGTTTTTCTCACGTTACTCCGTTACTTTGTTACTCTGTTTAGTAACACCCCATTTTTTGTACATTTGGCGTATACATTCATGATTTTTTCCTACATTTTTCGTCATGCACCTATCGATGGTGTGCCCCAGGATGGGGGGGTGGGCAACCCAGGGAAAATTTGACATTGCCAGTTTTCAAATGTCAATTTCCCCACCCTTGGATCTCCATTTTGAGTCAAATTCCCACCACTGGGGCAAACTAATAGGCACTTGCAACAGTCTTTATTGCAGCACAAAGTGGCCCCAGAGAGTAAATGGTACCCAAAAACATTGTGCATTTCCCCAAGTGTAGAAGACATATTCCAGCTGGATATCTTGCGCTGCTGACAATTTAACACACATGCTATACTCCCGAAAGTACCTTTGAATTGTTTCACACAGTGTTTACAGCAATGCAAAATGTACAATGCCAGAACATGACATGCCAGCATCAAGGGGGGTTAATGTCTAAGGGCTGGTGTTCTGTACATGTGGTCCAGAATTTCATTTAATTGGACATTTTGAATATACCAGCAAATCTAACATTTCATTTTTTGAATCATTTTTTGATCTTTCATTAAAAACTTGTGGCAGGGCAGCATCCAGGTTAAAACATGTTATTAGAAAGCATATTTTCAAAATGAGACTTTGTGCAAGTATTGCTTCACAACGCTTAGGGACAAAGTACTTTTTGTCATAAAACTTCAAAAACATAAAAACCAAGTCTAATTTCTGACAAGTCATTAACACAACACATGAATGATTTCGTCTCAAAAAGTGTTTATAAGTACGATAGTAGTTGCAGGACATGGAACAAGTTAACTTTTTAGTCTGACTTTTTCCCGCATTATGTTGATATTCGCGATATTGCTTTCCCAGTGTTTGTTTGCCAAACGTATTGAAAAAAAACTCATATAACTCAGACGATAGTCTCCCGATTACTTGTCTCAGTTCTGCAAACCAACAGTGTGTTCAGCCGGTTTCTGTTACTCTCTTCTTCTTTTAACTCCAAATTATCAGTGAATCCAAGTTGAGTGAAGTGGTGCATTTTCAAAACATCCCAAAGAAGCCACTCTCTGGAGAGAGCTCAGGAAGTAAAATTTTTCCCCCAGTGGAGCGGTGAGGGACAAAAACCCGTTATGAGCATGAGCAGTGATATTTGTAACTTCTGCACATGCGCGACCGGTTGTCAGAAATTTTCTAACATCCGGTAACGGCTGCTTCCAGAGCCCCTCCTTTCCCTACCACGTGACCAAGAAACGATGGGCTCTGGGGACGAGAATGGAGAGATGTATGGTAACAGTCATAGTCAAGGAACATGTGTATCTTTGGAAATACCATCCATGCATAAATTAGTACAGTAATTTCAGAGTCTATATATGAATGAAGATATATATGAGCTTAAGGGACTTGTCAGAAATTAGCAGGGGGGAGGGGGGGAGGAAACAGAGGGAGGGTCACAACTTTTTGAGACTGCAGAAAAGGGAGGGGTCATGAAAAATGGGCCGTTAAAAGGGGAAGGGTCATGCAAATATGTGTCCGTGATCATGTAGAGGTTCACCCACAGAAGAAAAAAGAAGTTCTTTATTTTGTAAAAAAAAAACCTGGGAGAAATAGGAGAGTCAATTGATCAGCTGTCAGAATCAGAGTCGGACTCTTAATGCTGTCATCTAAAATGTATTTATATGGGCATTACAAAGAACAGATTAGAAATATATTTTGAGCTTTCATAATACTGACTCACCCTAGTGTACTTGCAAGAACTAGATTTTATCATTTATACAAGAGGGGGAGGGTTATGATATTTTAGGCCAAGGTCAAGGGGAGGGTTAGCAAATTTCACTCCCATTGCAGGGATGGGTCACCTCATTTCCAAACCCAAATTTAAAATTCCCACCCTCCCTTCCCCCCTGCTAATTTTGACAAGTCCCTAAAGGTGTACATATTGCCAACTTTGAAGTTGATCTTTGTTTAAGCACTGTTAAGTATTATAGTATATCAAATGCTAATAATTACCAATGTTCTTGTAAACAGTGCTGCACTATAGCAGTTTATGCAATGTGTTACTCTGTTATTAACCCATGAGTAGTAGTACCGGTACCAAAATGTGCAGACTTTGTTTTTGGGACGCAGGTGGGCTCACATGGTCATCCACTTCCCACCTGAAAACAAACTCTCCACATTGCTGCTACTAGAACTACTACTTAGAGCCGTTAGAAAATGTAAAACAATCTGCAAACAAAAGACAACCGCCTGGACCAACCGCTTTGAGGACGGCCGTGGCGCAAGCCAGGCGAGTGCACTGTTGTTGTTTTGTACCAGGAAAATTACCACAACAAAAATATGGTGAAACTGACAGCCAATGAAAATGAAATAAATGCGCTCAAGATTTTCATTTTGAGGATCTTTTCTTGTGCTTCCATCGCCCTGTAGGTAGGAACCACTTTATCCACTAAGGGGTTGCTGGGGCTATTGTCGATGTTGAGGTCAGGCCAGTTGTCAGGTTAGTTTCCCAAGTTTTCCAAAGAATTTAACGTTTTTAGCAGGCTAGAAGTAGTAGTCTCCAGAAGCTCCATTTATCTCGACACTTTGGCGCGCCTCCGACATAAAGGGGCAACAGCCTCCAAAGCCCCCTTTAATAAAATCATGTCCTACTCTGCAGCATACATCTTTTTAGTCAGTTTCAGCAAGTGGACGCCAGCAGGCGACGTTAATGTCTGGGTTAGTGCAGCCTCTGGCTCTTATCTCCGCACTTCGGCGCAAAAAGCCTCAGCGTCTTCCGTTATTTTTGGCATATCTGCGCAAGCAGGCTCCGTACACCGCAGAATGTCCACGTCCTTATGACTGGACGTGGTTGTATGTATTATGTAAAAACAATTTATGCTTCGGGCGTGAGCATCCTATTATCACATTAACGCACACTATGCGTAATGGCCGGTAACAACTGCTGATCTGAGCAGCGTAGTGGAATCTATCACCACTGACACAAATCGGGGCCCTTGAGTTTAACCTCAAACCTATGTTTTCCCAGTGAGAATCGACCAACGCGACCCCCGAGATTCATAAAAATTCCGAAAACCAAACCCGCAAGGGGGTTGGAAAAATTTGATCCCTTTCATTCGAGGCATTGTGAGACCCCAACTTTTGCGGCGCAAGACCTTTTTGATGATGACGATAGTACTTGGCAGAACGAAAATTGGTTTTTATGTTTTTGAAGTTTTATGACAAAAAGTACTTTGTCCCTAAGCGTTGAGAAGCAATACTTGCACAAAGTCTCATTTTGAAAATATGCTTTCTAATGACATGTTTTAACCCGGATGCTGCCCTGCCACAAGTTTTTAATGAAAGATCAAGATAAATCACTAAGTGGATGACTTAAACTACACAATAGAAATATTTGGACTGCAAGCATTAACAAAATAATTTACATGTATTTTACCTACCTTTCTAGCTCTCAAATTGGCAACTTGTCCAAACTCTGTGTTCTGCACATTTTCCATTTTGCCGCCTTACCACGTCTGCGCAGGTACTTCTTTGACTCCAGTACTGAAAAATGGCCCCTACATGTAGCAAAAGGAAAGCATGTTAAATGTGCAGGTCTGTAGAAAAGGAATTAAGAGTGCTTCTTGTTGCTGCTAAAAGTATTGTTGGTTTGCTCCTGTTTTTGGTGTGGGTATTATTTAGTGGCTTTTGTATTTATGTCATTAGGGGATGGCACTTGTCCGCAACACCAATAAACTACTGTGGAACTGCGTTAATATGGTCATCAATGGGCCAAAAAAAATTTTGCTGTATTAATGGGGTGGTAGTATTAATGAGGGTTTGTTTACAAGAAAATGTATGGTGGTTTTTGCCAGGTGGCCAAAAAAAGTGGCTGTAATAACGAGGTGACTGTATTACCCATCTGGCCGTAAGGCGGGGTTTCACTGTACCAAATTCAAGAAACTTAGAAAAGTGTACAACTTACCTTTTTTCTCTGTTTTGGGCCATTTCTTTTACCCAAAATTTCCCCTCACTTCATTAACCAAAATAACCTCAATGTTTTTGTTCTCCACATCATTATACCTCAAAGAAATAAAGACCAAATATATTTATATCAAAAATAATAATACATGTATTACATGTATATGTATATTATTGCAACAGCCTGGTTCTAAAGACTAGAGAGCTTAAAATGAGGCAGTTTTCTGGTTGTGCATTACAAAGACAAATATTTAAAAAAACAAGAATCGCCGAAAGGCAATTTTTAACAGGGCTGCAAAGGGGCTATTTTTTCCGAGGGGAGGGGGCGGCTATACACACTCAGGCTACTATAAAACCTTGTCGCTAACCATTGCATGCGACAGAATCTCATGTGAGATTGAAACATAAACTCATTCAGAACATTGTACCCTTCTGAAAGACTTTCGTCACCCAAAAAAAGAGTACCATTTTTTAGTGGGGGCTGTATAATAACTTTTAAATTCCACCATTGTGAATAAAAATAAACAAGTTAGCCATTAATTCTAAGCAGGAAATTAGGAAATTCTAAGCAGTAAATTTTCATGCACCCCTCCCCCAATCCCCCTGTGCCCCAAAATATAGCGTGACAGTATAACGTGACTAATTTGACGTAACCAGAAATTCCAAAAATTGTTGTCGTTCTACGAGCATAAAAATTAATGATCCAGGGGCCTCACTGACTGCACTGAGACTTTACTGCGCTTTTCACAAAGATGCGAACTCCGCATGAAACATGTAAGCTTATATATGTAAGCTCACATGTGAAACGATTTTTATGATCGACATCGATGAAATGCTCCCAAAGCTATTACATAGACTTAAATATGCTTCTATATATTTAAACAAGATTCAGAATGTACTTACGAAACAACAAGGATCCACAGTCTAAAACAGGCGTTTTTTCTTCTCAATGGTTCTTGAAACACTCAGTGTGTTCGAGTCGCCAAGAGTGGACACTGAACTCCTTCATCACCGCTTCCATGGGATTTGGCGTTTCATTTAAATAGTTTTTCGAACTATTATTCCTCCCTGCAATCTCCGCAACGCAATCTATCACACTCTCCTCGCTCATCTTTGCAAAAAAACGAACCTTCTGCATGTACAAACCACCAAAATGGAAGGCGAACAGACCGCGAAGAATGTTCAAAAGGGCGCGCGATTCAAAATTCAACGTGAAAACGAGGCACGCATGCTCGTAAGACTCATGCCTCCAGATCGAGGCAAAATGCGTGCAAGCGTGACGTAATATAGATTTAGCCAGGGCTAAAAGCGAAGCCGCCATTAATAAATTATAATTTAAATCAAACAATAAACTTGTATTCCAAAGTGCAGATAACTTTACAGCACATTCATGTGACTTTTGAAGGAAAGGCTAAGTGATTTTGTTGAAAAATATTTTGCAAGGAACCGCCAAGAGTGAACCAAATCTTACATCAAGTTCAGTCTCATATGTACACCCAAAAAATAGCAACCATCTTCGATCACATTAAGAGCCATAATGGGCAGGCTCTTAATCACCGAAGATTAATTAGGCCTGGAAAAAAATCAGGCCGAATTCTTTGCGTTCGACAAGTTTACTTTACAGTATTTTACAAAATCTTGCCAACAAATCTGGGTGAGTGAAAACCAACCTTTTTACCATTTGTACATCACATCTGAGGTGAAACAGTGCTATGAGGAACTGTTCTTATCATATAGACCTCTGACAGAATGCAGTATTTCACAATTTTGCAATACAAATTACACTCGTTCAATATTCAGGACGATCGAAGCACGCCTGGGCTTTTTAGCTAAACCGTTCAAATAATTTCCAAAATCACCTATACGGCCAGCAGGTTCTGACTTTTGCAGCTCATGAGCTGTGGTCGACTGTTTGAATGAACATTGATAGAGTTTCGCTCCAACACAATAAAGAATTTATTATGTTTAGGGACCGGTCATTATTTATGTTGGGTGGGGGGGGGGGTGAGGGGGAAAACTCATGGGGTGGGCCAGGCCTATTTTTTTTTAGAGAAAAGGGGTGGGCCAAAAGAGAATTTCACGATG